TTTGATTTCCATTGATAATTTTTGTGTGATTTTGTTGTCAGCACATTCAACTATTAATGAACAACGTATTTAATAAGAATATTTCATTCATTCAGATCTAAGATGTCTTATTTTTGTGTTCCCTTTATTTTTTTGAGCAGTATATAAAATCATACATTGCAATGTCCTACCTGTCAATGAATACTTCAGCTTCAACCATAACAATACAAGAGCAAACAATAGGGGTCTTCCGGTTTGTCGGCTTCGCGAGCGGCAGGGATTTGCGAAGCTGCGCGATCCCTGCCGCGCTAGCCGTTTTTGGGGCTCTGACCCACACGGGTACGGAGCTAGGCTGCCCTGCAGGGGCAGCTGAAGGTAGGGGGGATCCGGAGAAGGGACTGGGGGTGTTGCAGACCCCCTCCCTGGCCGGCAGAACCCCCTTTTCCCAGGACGGTGCAGCGGCGGTCCGTAATGGCCGCCACAAAGAAGCTGGCAGCCGGGTAAGAATGCGCAGGAGGAAGTGGAGAAAGTGATTGAGAGGAGAAAGTTTTTCTTGGCTCCTAGGACTCTAAGACATATTTAATAAAATTCCTGAAAAGTATGACTTTCTGAATAATACCTGCCAGAAGAGGAAAAAAGCGGCTGCTTGAAGGTGCTGAAAGGATAGCTTTCCCTCTTTTCCTACGGAATAAATAACTGGATATTAAGAAACCTATTTTTTTAGGTGGAAATTGGTTTTAAGCGATGAGTGGGAAGAGAGAGGATTAAAAAGAAAATATTTGTATGCTAAGATTTCGTTGGAGCAGATGTCTTAAGGATTTGAAGACTAGAATATATTGTAATAAGATTTTAAACAGATTTGGACTTTCTTTCTCTTTGATTGATATTACCCCAGAAGGAGAAAGTGAGAACTCTGCCTTGGTTTGGACTGATTGATAACTTTGGGACTGTTTTATCTTTTTTATTTTCTTTTGAATATTCTGGTTGTTGTAAGAAGAAAGAAGGAGAAAAGAAAAGAAAATATTTATAATGGCTCTTTCTGTTGAGGAACTAAGAAAAGAATATGAACAAGCAAAAAAAAATGGTAAAGATGGTGTGGAAGAAGCTTTCCTTTTCTTAGAAATGGCGCTTACTAATTATCAACAAAAATTACAACAGATGAAGACAGCAGAGGAACAAGAAAGAAAGGAAGGAGCCATCTTTAATGAATCTCAGAATTTGATCCAGAAAAAAGGAAGAGAGAAAGAAAAGAAAAGAAGAGAAAAGAAGAAAACTAAAGGACTTAAGGACTTAAGATCTAAAAAAACATTTAAGAAAGGGAAAAATAAAGTGCAAAACCAATATGATGATTGTAAACAAAGGGGAAAAGAAATACGACAGAGAAGGGAAGCCGGTAAGGCAGAGGCTAGAAGAAGGGGGGGTAGAAAGGTTTGTTGGGAGAAGAAAGAAAGGGAAAAGGTGGAGAAAAGCTACAATGTTTTGAAATTAAATGGAAAAAAGGAATTTTTTATGGATAATGGATAAAGTATAATTTTTTTTTTAAAAAAAAAGATTTTGCAAGGTACATAAGATGAGATGGTAGTATTGCAATGGTTTAAGAGTTGATAAAAGATTAAAATGTTAAAATGTTTAAAAATGATTGGCTTTAAAACTTAATAATAGGAGAGGTTTAGAATATTGTTTTAATTAAAGAGTTTAGTAAAATTATGGTATTGATGTTATTATAAAATTTTTATTATAGTATTTCTTTTTAATATTTGGATTTATTGTCTAATTATGCACTTAATTGTGTTGGATGTATTAGTTAGATAGAATGTACCAAGCAAAATCTGATTGGGTATTAGATATTATTTTAAAGATTAATTTGATTAACTTAGGGGGAAGATAGAAAGGCATCATACTCTGATTAATGATTTCAGGAGAAACTGATTTTCTTTTTTTTCATAAGGGATGAGACAAAGGGATGATAAAAAATGGACAAAAGATACAAATATAATGATTTAAACTAAGATGATTAATTAAGGTAGAATTAAGAAGTGTGAAATATGTGGAGAAGTTAATATAGAAGGCTTAGAATGGTAAATAAAATAAGTAATGATATGTAAGATGAGCATGAATATAATTGAAGTCCATGAAGAGAGAGACACCTGGGTCCAAGTTACTTTCCAAAAAGATTTTTTTTTATGTTTTGTGTGTTGTGTGTATATGTCTTTTTTGGGGGGAGAATTGGTAAAAACTTGTAGAAATATAGAATGAGAATAATGGTAACTAAGTCAGAAAGAATCAGATGAAATAATAATAATGATATTGAATAAGAGTAAAGAGAAGTAAAGAGAAATTGAATAAGAGGTTTTGGTATATTATATGGAAATGGTTTAAAACAGAATCATAATTTATCTGACTTGTTAAATTTACAATGGAAAAAGGTTTAAACATGTAATGAATAATGATAATTTGTGTGTTTTAAAAATTAATAAAACTTGTTTTTAAAAAAAAAAAAAATACAAGAGCAAACAATAGATCCAAACTCAAGGTTAATCGCACCAAACTTGATTGCAGGAAATACGACTTCAGCAACAGAGTGGTCAATGTCTGGAATACTCTTCCTGACTCTGTGATTTCTTCCCCAAACCCCCAAAACTTTAACCTTAGACTTTCTACTATTGACCTCACCCCTTTCCTAAGAGATCTGTAGGGGGCGTGCATAAGCACACCAACGTGCCTACCGTCCTGTCCTATTGTTTCTTTTATTTTTCTTATATGTATCCATGTATTCATAACTATGTTTTTACTTATACCTATTATCTTGTAAGCAATTGACAAACCAAATAAAATAAAATAAAAGCTCCCAAAAACGGGTGGGGGTGGCAAAAAAGCAAAAAAAAAAAAAGCCACACCCACCCAGTCACATGGCCATGCCCACCAAGCCACACCCACAGAACCGGTAGTAAAATTTTTTGAATCCCACCACTGATCCACTTAATGGTGTGGGCCATTGTTTTAGGTTCTACATCACATGCATAGGCACAGATACAAATAGAGCCTTCTCTTTTTAATGCTTTTTGTCTCAAAATATTGTGATGGAGTTACACCTGTTTGCCATTAGTCAGTTAACTGGGCCTTTGATTAGGAAATTAACTTTTTCAAGAAATGAGCAAATGACCTAGGGTACATTGCTTGAATGTAATGCTAAATGAGTCCTAGATAGGACTCTAAGGAAGAGCCAACTGAATAATATTCAGTGAATTTATTTGTGTAGAATCTTTCCCTCTGCTTTTTACAAATAAGTAGTCCACGACTTACAACAGTTCATTTAGTGACTGGTCAAAGTTACACTTGTACTGAAAAAAAGTGACATGACAATTTTTCACACTTAATGACCATTGCAGCATCCCAACGTGATCAAAATTTAGAAACTTGGCAACTGACTCATATTTATGACTGTTGCAATTTCCTGGGGTAACCTTTTGTGAAATTCTGACCAGCAAAGTCAATGGAGAAGCCAGATTCACTTAACAACTGTGTAACTAATTCAAAAACTGCAGTGATTGACTTAACAACTGTGACCAGAAAGGTAGTAAAATGTGCCAAAACTCACTTAACAAAGGTCTTGCTTCACAACAGAAATGTTGGGCTCAATTGTCGTCATAAGTCAAGGACTACTTATATTCATTTCAGATGTTCTCACTACCATTGTATTGACAGTAACCATGAACAAGACTTAACCAGAAAATATTGTAAATAAGCGTAACATATTAAATTTTAAAATATTTTTCACCCTTTTTGTCATGTAGTATGCAAAAGAATATAATTCAGGCTATTGAAAGGTTTGTTGCTGAATTCAGCAGATTGATTTTCAATATTGTGTAAAAAAAAGCCTAAAATGAAAAAAAAAACATTTTAAAGGCAGATTTGACATGTTTAAGAACTAATCTCTCTCTGTAACTAACAGCAATAATCTTAAAGTAAAGCTCATGCGTAAACTCTATTTATGAAAGAATATAGTTCTTTCAGTGATGCAACCTTGCTCACATTTCCTTCCATATATCCTGCACATATTTATATAACTTAGCAGAAAAGAAAGAATGTAGTTTATATTTTTTAGAAACAGAAAAAGATCATATTTGAAAGAAAAAGATGAAATAAGTCAAGATGTAAAAATCGTTTATTTTCACATGATGTGAGAACAAATAATGTGTGGTCCAATCAATAATATATAGATTTCAGGACTATTGTGAAGCTGGCCAAAACAAATGAATATTTGACATACAAATTCAAATGATCTTTGGAAATTATGTTTACCACTGAGCTCAGGTTTCTGATTTGGCTGCAAGTGGTTCAAATTTTCGCAGCGTGGTTTCAATTAAACATGTTTTCTTTAAAATGAATCAAATCTTTCTGCAGTCACGGAAACTTTGTAAAATAGTTTTAACACCTGCAATTTTCATATTCTTGGGTTTCCCCCATTTCTTCCTGGTTGTATTTGAGGTACTGGAGAAATGATTTAATTGAACAGATTTATAGGAACATTAGTTTAACTTTCTTGATGTGGTCACATTAGAATGGACACTTATGATCCAGTCTCTTGTCACAGTAATATTAAACCAAAAGCCTAAACATTTGAAGGACCCCAGGTAGTAGGTGTGGTATGATGGATAAGGTAGTGGACTAAGCAGGGGAAACCGGGTTTATATCAACTCTTGATCTTTATAGGTGATTGAGCAGCTTGGATCACTTAACTCTCCAACCAATGTACCTCACAGAATTGCTATTGGAAATAGGAAGAGCAAGCGTTGTGTGTGTGGGAGAAGGATTTAGCATATATTTTAGAAGCATAACATGATTATATAGTAAAATGTGTAGATGATAGATAGATAGATAGATAGATAGATAGATAGATAGATAGATAGATGATAGAGGCACTGTTGAACAGTATTGATTTGTCTAGCAAATAGACCTCCATGTTTTAAAAAAGTTATTCACTAAAATGATTATTGTTGTTTGCTTGTTTTTCTATACAGGGCCTGGCTTTTACTCTGGAAGAGAGACAGCAGCTTAATATTCATGGATTACTACCTCCCTGTTTTTTCAATCAAGACATGCAAGTTTTAATCGAACTGAAAAAATTTGAAAGACAAGCAACTGACCTGGATAGGTGAAGTCTTCAAGGGGCATGCTTATTTATCTTTCTACTGTGGGGGGAATTTTTATAAACACCTCATTCAATTAGTTACATATTTTTCATGCATTCCCTCTCTTTCATTCACAGCTCCAACACTCAAGGTCTATGCATCTTAATTTCTGGTTTTCTTCCAGGATCATATATACAAATATACTCCACCATGCATGTTTTCCTGCATTTACCTGTCTTGCCTGTTGTAACATCTTTGTTTCACCCTTTGTTTCCTCCCAAATTTTCTTCCTTCCCAAATTTCAGTCTTTTTTTTCCTTTTCATTTAAATGGATATTTTTGCATCCTTTTTAACAAAAATAAATAGGTCTGTTTTTTCTTTGAAGCCACAAGATATGTTTCATTCACCATCTGCCATTTCTACATCTTGATAAACTCTATAACAGCATTGGTGAACCTTTTCAGCACAGGGTGCTGGCAGGGGAGTGCTGGAAACCGGAAGAGCAGCTCCCTGGTGCATATGTGTGCCAACCAGTTGGTCTTTGCATGCGCCTGCGCACCAGAAACCGGAAGACCAGCTGGCTGGCATGCATGCGCATACCGGAAGCCAGAAGCTCAGCTTCCCGGTTTGCGCATGCACACTGGGGAGCTGCTCTTCCAGTTTCTGGTCTCCCGCATGCATGCGTGCGCCGGAATCCAGAAGAACCACAGGCAGCAGCTGGCGTGCCCAGAGAGATATGCTTTGCGTGCCACTTCCGGCACACATGCCATAGGTTCGCCATCACGGCTCTATAACTTTGTGTGGTCTCTACAGGCAATAAGGCCAAATAAATCCGAATTATTAGAAGATATATTTCCTCTTTGAAATACTTTTGGCTGTCCATTTTGAAAATTAAATTTCAAAGAATCAGAGAGAATTTTTGTGGTCAAGTGGGCAGAAGCATCTTTAAGGATTGTGCTACCTACTTCCTGAACAGATGAATCAGTTTATAACTAGTCCCAATCAGTTTTGCATGTTTGTGTGGCTGTTGTGTGATGGTATGAGGAAGTGTTGGAGAGGTACTGTGCAAGTCAAGGAAGATGTGTGGGTGTCCAGTGTGGCATGAGTGTAGAAGGGATGAGGGATGTGTAGGTGGAGAGACTTACCCCAGAGATGTGCAACCTTCCCTACTGGCTTCTCCACTGATTTTCTGGGGAAGCCAGCAGGAAGTTTGTAAATAATGATCATATAATCCTGGAGCACTTGACAACCAGTCATAAGTGAGAACAGGTTGCCAAGCACTCAGATTTCTATAGTGTGACTGTGGGGGTGCTTGGACAGCCAGAAATCTGATGACTAATCATAATCACCATTCATTCAGTGCCGTCATAACTTGGAATGGTCACTGATTGGATGATCATAGGCTGAGGGCTAATTATATATATATGCATGTGGTATATTATAATAATGCTAAATATTTGTAAAAGGCTTTGATTTTTTTAGCCCTTCTTAGAAAATATCTAAAAATATCTGTCCATCAGGTTTAGTACATAAGATCCAGATTAATTCCAAAAGCAAAGAATGGTTCATATAAAACTGAATCTGAACATACAGATCAGCCAAAAATAGCAAACAAAAAATTCCCAAGCCATATGTCAAGTTCACATGCATATTTTTGATTGAGGAGACATGTATGACAATCAACAGAAAGGATTATTAGTGATAAGGGAATCTGACCAAACCTTTGAACATTTGAAACTTTGCCAACTAATTTTCTACCCATAGAGAAATATTAGCATTGGCTGAAATGTTATTTGTGATTGTAATGCAAGGTAAATATCATATAACATGCAGGAAACCATTAGTGCAATAACATTTAATAAGACATAAACTAGAGATGCAAAAGTTTATTTCTTTAAAATGATTTAATGTGAAAGACCTCACACAGATTGGACCTCCCAAGTGTTTGATATGATTATAATAAATAGCAAACTTATGAAAAAACAGAGTTTCAAACTTCCTTCAATCAAGTTTAAAAACTTTTAAGTGTAGCTTCTGAAAGAGCATCTGCTTTCCCCTGATCAGTTCATAAATGTTTCTTTCTTTCTTTTTTTTTTACCTTTTTACACCCAAAAGCAAGACTGCTGGGGAAAAGCAAGGGCAAGCATGAAAGAGCTGGAACTTCTCACTTTCTGTTTTATTTGATTCCATTCCAAGCTCTGGAAACAACAATAGTTAATAATAGTTATTGTTAGTGTAAGTAATAATCATATGTCTGTTCTTTTCTCTCTTAAATATATTTTCCTCTCATCCATAGAGATGTGGGTTTTGAAAGAGATTAAGGGAGGACAGGCAATTTTATTACTATTAATAAAAGCTAGTTAGCTGACTCAACCATGCTAAATTAGATTGGCATGCTCAGAATTTCACTTCCGCTTCTATTTTGGTTACCTCTAGTTGGTTTGCAAGCGCTGCTCTGAGATCATTCTCTGTTTTTATAAACATCCACTCCCTCATCAGGAAAATGGTTACATGAACCTTGTGAAATAATTTTTTAAATGAGGAGTTGGAATACTTCCTTCCTTTTACATTCCCCCCCCCCATATTTTTCACTCATTGCTTTTTTTTAAAGTGGGGACTATTAGTTAAAAAAAAGATCCATTATCAAGGACAAAGGGTATGCATGGGTAGCTTGGCCTTGATACATTACATATGTGGACATCTTAAAGACATATTATGCCATTACCTTTATGGAAGCAGAATATAGTGCCCCAGGGTTCCATTATAGAATTTTCAGCTATTCTTCACAGTCTCTTCTCTCTTGGTAGTTCTAGAAAACCAATAACAAAATGAATGATGGGGATACTGCGACTGATGTGAAGAGCCTACGTCCCTTTAGCTTACCATATTTTTCCGTCTATAAGACACCCTCATGCATAGGATACCCCCCCTTTTCTTACCTAAATTCAGAAATCAATATTTTAAGCAATTGGAAGTTTCTCTCCTGAGGTGAGTTTGCAGAGATAAGGTATTGGCAGTTTTGCAACCGCAGATCTCCTCTCTGCCCCCCATGTGTAAGACACCCCTCCATTTTTAGGTACCATGTTGCTCCAACAATACGGCCTCCCCCAATAGGAAGTCCCAGCATGTTTTATCGGCATAAAATCAAATTAAGCCCCTCCCCCCAAATTAAGGCCTATATTAAACATGCGAAATGGCGGGGAATGGCGGGGGGGTTGCCGTTAGGAAGTACTTTTGTTGCATACCCGGATATGGTGCTGCCTGCATTGACTTTGGCGTTGGTGGGGCACTTCATATTAGGAGACCTTCCGCCACTGTTGCTTTCCATTCTCCCCATTCTGCTGCAGTGTTTCGAGCAACGCTGCAGCATTTGGCGCAGCCACGCGCTGCCAGCCAGTGCTCCTCCCTGCAACTGGAGCCTGGCGGAGACACTCGGCTTCAGGCACTCCTGTTGCCGCCTTCCCTTCACCTTTGAAGGCAAAGCCAATTCTTTAAAAACCTACTACTGGTACGACAAAGCCTCCCCTGCCCAAGAGGGCAGCCCAACCCCACGTGGGGAGGCGAATCTCCCGGGGCCACAGCACAGGATCGGCCCACCCCAGGAGAAGTGCCCAGTTGCCATCCCTGCCTGGTGCCGGGCAGAGGGCAAAGAGCTTCGCCTGGGGCACCCAGCGCAGCTGACAGGTGGGCCCTCCTGCCCGGCGGCAGAGCTCTCACCAAGGCAGCGAGCGCCCCCCCACCAGGCCCTCCGCTCATCCCGCCATGGCCGCACCAGAGCCGTGTGGGCTGGGCAGAGCCGGGAAAGCGAGCCGCGGGTACACACCCGCCTGCTAAGTGAAAGAGCCGGGCCAACCCGAGCTTGTGATAGCGCCCACCTATCCGTGGACAGGGAGGCAAGGCGACAGCCTGCACCGCGTCCTCTGAGCTGAGCCCCGCCGAGTCAGCGCCTCTGCCCAATGCCCGTGCCGCTGCAGCATTTGGAGCTGCCGGCGCATTTGGAGATGCGTGGGAACGGGGACAGGCTGGGCGAGGGGTGGAAAGGACAGGCGGCTTCAGGCTCTCTCCACCGGACCCGCCAGCCAGGGAAGCAGCGCTGCCGTCACCTCGCCTCCCTGTCCACGGACAGGTGGGCGCTATCACTGCCTTGGGCAGCCTCTCTCAGTGGCCCCTTCAGGTTCAGGCTGGAGGGACTTGGGAAGGAAGCCAAGCTCGGGTCGGCATGGCTCTTTTGCTTGGCAGGCGTGCGTGCACCCGCGGCTCGCTTTCCCGGCTCTGCCCAGCCCGCATGGCTCTGGTGTGGCCCTGGCGGGATGAGTGGAGGGCCTGGCGGGGAGGCGCTCGCTGCCTTGCGAGAGCTCCGCCGCCAGGCAGGAAGGCCCGCTTGTCAGCTGCGCTGGGCGCCCCAGGTGAAGCTCTTCGTGCTCCGCCTGGCGCCAGGCAGGGATGGCAGCTGGGTGCTTCTCCCAGGATGGGCCGATCCTGTGCTGCGGCCCCGGGAGATTCGCCTCCCCACGTAAGGTTGGGCTGCCCTCTCGGGCAGGGGAGGCTTTGTTGTACCGGTAGTAGGGCGTCGTTTTTAAAAGAATTGGCTTTGCCTTCGAAGGTGAAGGGAAGGCGGCGGCAGGAACGCCTGAAGCCGAGTGTCTCCGCCGGGCTCCGGTTGCAGGGAGGAGCCCTGGCTGGCCGTGCGTGGCTGTGCCAAACGCTGCGGCGTTGCTCTAAACGCCACAGCAGCACGGGAGAAGGGAAAGCAACGGTGGTGGAAGGTCTCCCGATATGAAGTGCCCCACCAACACCGAGGTCAACATCCAAGCCGTCGCCGCCCGCCCACCCGAGGATGCAAGGGAGGGAATTAAGTCACCCCCGAAAAGACAGCCTAGCCATTTTTTCGGGGGTCAAAAAAAAATAAGGCCCGGCCTTATTTTGTGAGAAACACAGTAAATATTTTGAAGAAAAAGTATCATCTTATACATGGAAAAATATGGTAAATGCCAAGCCACACCAGCTGGTTTGGAAAGAGAGCTATATACCCAATACCTATCCCCAAAGTATTTTGTAGACTTGATAAATTGTGTGTTTTTGAAAAATCACAAATTTCATTATCTCCCTAGTTATGCTGCATGTTTTTGCTTTTTTAAAAAGCATATTTTGCTTACTATAAAATTGAGGACAGTTAAGAAACAGAATAAAATTTTAAACTCCATACAAGGCTTTCTAGTATAGAAAGATCTTTTAGCAGACTTTTTCCTCATACCTTACTCAAAACGTTTTTTTATATATTTGCCATCAAATAAATGAACAGAAGAATAAAATAAAATGAGACCTTTTAAGCAGAAGCAGCTGGTTATAGAGAATAAAGAAATTTTTAAAAAGGGCAATTGTTCAGAAAAAGTCTATCTTTCAGATTTCTGGCTGCCATGCATGCTTAAACAGTTTGGCATACTTTAGATTAGGCAATGTGTAATATGTTTTCCACCTGTTACTTTCCTTTGGAAATGAAATGAAATGTATATTAAAAAAAAGTTCAACCACCAAATTGTGTAGCATTCAGAATCAGGGATTATAAATTCAGGTACTTTAAAATGATTACCCTCCTGAAATTGAATGAGGCATTCGTTAAATGAATTTTGCCCTATTTTTTCGATCGTTCTTGCCACAGTTGTTAAGTGAATCATCGTAGTTGATAAGTTAGTAACATGGTTGTTAGATGAATCTGGCTTCCCCTATTAATTTTACTTGTCAAAACATTGCAAAAGGGGATCACGTGACCTTGGGACACAGCAATAGTCATAAGTATGAGTTCAGTTGGCAAGCATCTGAATTTTGATCATGGAGATACTACAAAGGTCATAAGTGTGAAAAATGGCCATAAGTCATTTTTTTCAAAGCCATTGTAACTTTGAACGGTCACTTAATGAGCTGTTTTAAGTTGAGGAATATAGATTTATAAACATTAGGATTCATTTATAACTGTTGTGAGTTGTGATTAGCGTATGATCTTCTTTACTACTAGGAGTGGGATTTAAAGGCAGAGGAAAAAGCAGGTTTCTTTAGTTTGTTGTGTGATTGGGCAATTACCTGGAGACTACATATGTGGAGCTGCTTGTGGAAGAGTGGTCCTTTGGGGGCTATTTTAATAGATTGCAACAGTGCTTCCTCCTCTGAACAGAAAAACAATGCGAGGCTTCTGTAGATGGACAAAATATTCACATATAGATATATCTAGCTTTATGTTGATGTAGTTTGTGAAAAATAAAATAATTTAAAAGTATTATTTATGATTACTGAATGTATAACAGCCTTTTTGTCACATTTTATTTCAGTCAGTTCATAAAAGTAAAAGTAAGATTATGTGTGGAACGCAGCTCTTTTTATTATTATTATTTTAGTTACAGTGGTCCACTTTTTCAATCATATTGAGAATAACCTATCTAGCCCATTGAAAACTGAATCCTTGACTTTCTCACAGTAATAAAAAAGACAGTTTTTTTAGATTCTAAAAGTGTGTTACAGTTTGATGCTTTATTATGTTATGTTTCATTTTATAAACAATATTCATCTTTTTATCCTAACTCAGTCTGTCCCTAAAGATGTAGAATGAATAGCAAAATAAATGATATATATGCTAAATAATTTCACATTTGCTACAGATTCACTAGCTTCACTGGTGATATAGCAATAAGCTTTCTAACGGAAAGAAGCATTTTCCATAGGTAAAAATAACTCTAATGAGAAAACAATCCCTGTTTTATACTTTGTTACACTCAATTTACTTCAGAGCAACATATGGAAATCTGTCTAATTTATAATTCATTTTTCACAGGTATATTTTGCTAATGGGTCTTCAGGATCAAAATGAAACACTCTTTTATAAAGTGCTGACTTCTGACATTGAAAGATTTATGCCTATTGTTTATACTCCCACTGTGGGTCTGGCATGCCAACAGTATGGTATAGCATTTCAGAGACCAAGGTATGTAAGGTTATACTTCACATTTAAGTAATTGTACATTTTTTCTTGCTTCATAGGTTTCTGCTTTTCAGCATAGTTGAATGTAATCCAAGTCTGGAATAATTAAGATAATTCAAACTATGTTAAGTACACTTTGCAAAAATATATCAATACTTTATTTTTTTTTAAACACTGACAATAAAAAAATGTTTGGTTTAGATGGCTTTGCAGAGAAACTAATATTGCCTAATAATAACAATAAAACTGAAAATAAAACTGAAAATCCAATCCTACTTTGATTTAAAAAATTGAAAATAAATTTATATTGTTAATATGCTATCATCATATAACATATAATTTAATCACAAAGAAAAAATGTCTGGAGGATATTTTATAATGTATTTTTTGTAAAATATTAAAACATAATTTACAAAGGCAGTTAGACACTATTACTACTATTGGCAAGATCAGGCAGTTTCTGCAGTTCACATTTATTTTTCTTCCAGTTGCATTGATAGCCAATTGTGTTCCAGAGCTTTCTCAGAGTATATTTGATTAACATCAGTGTTTTCTAGCAGTTCTCTTGATTCTTTTTTTAAAGGGTGATAAACTTCATTACTGAACTGCTTGACCCTTCCTAATATTAAAACACTACTCGACTTACAGCCCAAAATTTCTGTTGCCAAGTGAGACATTTGTTAAGTCACTTTTGTCCCCCTTTACTATCTTTCTTGCCAGAGCTGTAACACAACTATTAAATGAATATGGCTTCCCTATTGACTTTGTTCCTCAGAAGGTTGCAGAATAAATAAATAAATCACATGATCCTGGGACACTGCAACCTTCATAAATATGAGTCAGTTGCCAGGCATCTGAATGGATCACGTGACCACGGGGATTCTGCAATGGTTGTAAACGTGAAAAACGGGCATAAGTCACTTTTTTCATCATCATTGTAACGTCGGCCATTAAATGAACTGTTGTAAGTTGTGAACTACCTTTAATCAAGTCAGGATTTTTAGATTTTAGCCTAAAGGGAAATAGACTAATTAATACAGGTAGTCCTTGACTTCATTGGCAGTTGGGACTGGAATTTCCTTCATTAAGCCAAAGGGACTTTTTGGGTCAGGAAGGATGTACAAGGGTGCGCAAATGGCCAGTGCAATGTAAACACTGAGGGCTAAAGAGATAGGTGGGGAGGATATACCCCAGTGACATGTGGTCTTCCCTGCTGGTGTCCCCTTTGACTTTCTGAGGGAAAATGGTCGCTGAATGAATGGTTGTAAGTCGAGGACTACCTGTAATCATTTGTAACATCAATGAATGAACTAGACAAGAAAGAATTCTGAGTGTCCTTATGGTAACGTTTTACCAATTACTGTATTTATATTATTACTAAGAAATAAGGGAAACAACCTTATAGGCAGATACATTTTCAGTTATATCCTCCTAGCAAGATATATCACGGAGGCCCCATTTTATTTCACTGCCATATAGTACTCACTTTCACAAGCATTCTGGGAAAAGGACTTCTGAGTTTTTTTTTATTTTAAAGCTGTTGATTTTTGGGAAGCGATCTGGTGTCTGTAAAAGACTGTACTTCCTGTAATGTTCTCTAACATATATGGATATTTGTGTTTTGAGGATGTACCTCAATAAACCGGAACCATATTATTTGACTCACACACCCAAACCCTGCCAAGCTTTTTCAAAAGAAGGACCTTTTTTATAGTTCTTAGAGGCCCTTTCACTATGATTTGCTAAAAGTTTCCTACTCTTTGGAGATAAGAAAGAAAATACATGAAAGTTGTAGTGAAAGCCCTAATGTAGACATATTGTAATAATAATTAAAAAAATCCCCTCCAACGTGAAACTACTCCCAAGTCCAAATTCATTGAATCAATCTCTTCCACTTCGTAATCTTTACTTAGGTCCTTTCCAATATTACATGCAACCTATGGGACTAATCATAAATGTGAATAAGACACAAAGATACTTGCCTTTTCCAGAATATCCTTTATAGTCTTAATATATAATTATTCAATAGACCCGCTTGTCCTAATAGCACACTGAACCCCACTGTATTACCAATAATGGATGAAGTTACAACTGGGTTGCTAAACTAAAAATGTTATAGCATATTCTGAGTATTTAGCTTTATTGGGGGGAAAATGACATAATATGTTTTTCAGATTTCACTTTACTGTGTTATATCCAAAAGTATGAAAAACTGCAATCTCAGTAACCCATTCAGACCACCCATTCATACAGCACTAAGACACCAAAGCCTCTCTTTGAGCATTCTTGAATTATCCCAGTAGGAAAAATTGATGTCAGCACAATAGCTCATACTCATTTTTATATAATCTTAAGACACATTTGGAATCATTTGAAGAAAAAGAAATGTATTTTTAAATTATAAACAAGCTGTTTCTGCTTTTTTTAAAATGTAGTATAAAAATGGTAGAATAACAATTGAATTTGAAATAAAAACTCTGCTATATAATTTGCTAAATGTTGGCTTATTTATGATATTATCATCTCCATAGATTCATAAAGCTTTATAAAACTTCGAACCAGTGACATATCTTCTCATCTGCTTCATGCACACTGGTAGCTTCTGCAACTGGCCTGAGCCTGCCTGGCAGAATGGCTGGGTGGGAAGCAGGCCCAAGGCCTGAAGGCCTAGGTAGGGTAAGAAGCCTAAGGCCTGTAGGCCAGAGGTGGTATTCAGCAGGTTCTGACCAGTTCTGGAGAACCAGTTGTGGAAATTTTGAGTAGTTCGGAGAACTGGCAAATACCACCTCTGACTGGAGATTTTACAGTATCCTTCCCCTGCCACGCCCACTGTTAAGTTTGGAGAATAAGGAGACCAGACATCTGACCAGTGACTTC